TTTGATTTTCTAAAATCAAAAAGATCAACAACAACAACAAACTAAATCTGATTTGATTCAATTCCATTCTATCAATGATTGGTTGGAAATGAATCGAAATTTGCAATTGATGACAAACAAACAAATAGAAAAAAAAAAATTTCCATAAGTTTTTATCTCTCAAAATGTCCATTCTATTACTACTACTACGACCAACATCATCATTCAATTTGATGTGCACGAATCGACTTTTAACTAAACTGGACTATGGTGTGTGTGTGTGTGTGTGTGGCTGGATTTATTATTTCGTTAACAACAACAACAACAACAACAACAACAATAATGACAATGGCGTGCTAGCCATCAAAACGATCCGATTATATTCGCATCAATTGTGGCTTTATTCATCCATTGAAAAATTTTGGATTTTGATTTTTATTTGCCTGTATAATGCTTATTGCTTATTATTATTATTCACTTTCTATATAAATAATGACTATTTGACGGACTGACTATTTGTGTGTAAAGAACGATCCTGGATCAAATCCTAAAACTACTATTTCAAAGGGATTTTCTCGATGTGTGTGTGTGTGAGTGTGAGAGTGATGGCCCATAGATTTACAATTACAATAAAGAAAAAAAAAATGTTTCACGTGAAAACTATAACGTAATTCGTTTTTCTTTTTTTTTTTTTTTGATGGTTAATTGAACAATTTTTGCACTATTCATTTTCTTATTTGCCCAACTTTCTCATTCTCTAACTATGTGTTATTATATAATCGTTTATTTTAAACACTCAAAATGTTGTTTTTGTTGTCGCTGTCATTGTGAGAGAAAAAAATATATATAAATTTTCAATTACGAATTTTCAAAATATTTGTTCATGTGTATATGTAAAATGGAACAACTTATTTTTTTTTGAAAAATTTACATTAAGTAAATATTTGACAACAACATGAAAAACATGTAAAAATGACATAAATTTCAGCAAAAATAAAATAAAATAAAATTTTTTTCTGAAATTTCTCCAATGTTTTATTGCTAGAATATTCATAACATTCAAACAGAGCTAAATGGAGAGAGAATGAGAGAAAGAATAAATAAATTGTCATCACGTGTCATCATCAATCAAATGGTGTACAAACACGGTCATCTAATCTCATTGGTCGTTATATTATTATATATTGTATTATTGACCATAACTAATGAGAATGATTATTGTTTCTGGAACCCGAATTTTTTTTTTTTTTTTTTTGGTATGAATAAAAATTTTTATTAACTAACCAAAACTACACACACACACTGCTTTCACATGTGAATCATTTTCATTTACCATTTTTTTTTCGTTTTGTTTTGTTCTTTTGATTACTTTATTCATCGTTTACATTGATGAGATTGATCTTTCGCTCATTTATTTTTATCGAATTTTATTCAATGTCACAAATGTGAAAAAGTTTTTCTAGTTAAAATTGGTTCGCTCATATATATATACACACACACACACGACAACTGTTTCGTTTTTTTTCTCTTTCTCTCTTTGATTCTCTAGTTTCTTTGGATCGACATTAAATGATCATGTTGATGATGACTGGTTAGTGTCACGTGTTTATGTGTGTGTGTGTGTGTGTTGATACAATCATATATGAATATGGCTAGGCTGGCTGGTTAGTTGGCTGGCTGGCTGGCTGGTAGACACTAGGACAATGTTCCAGAATTCTTTTTCCTGATTTAAATGATGATGATGATGATGATGATGATCAAATTTTTCAACCGAATTCAGATTCTTCATTTTTTTCTTCAACTGAAATTATAAAAATCCATACAAAAGATTCTTATATAAACAGGAAACCATGAAAAACGTGTTTAGAAAAGAAAAATCTATCTCTCTCTCTCTCTCTCTCAATCAACCACTCAATTCGACTCAATTCTCTCTCTCTCTGTGTGTGTGTGTGTGTGTGTCAGTGTGAAAACTGAAACTGTGAACGGAAATAAGTTGAAGAAAAAAAAACATACATACAAATCAACAAAAAAAAACGGAAATACAAAACACGCGACATACAAATATTATATAACCAGAATACAAACACAAACACACGGACATCATATCCGAATTGTCTACTGTAACAACAAAAACCAACCAAAAAAAAAAAAAAAGATATCCAAAAAAATGAAATTGTCAAACTGCACACATACGATAGAAAAAAAATCGAGTCAAGCATTTTAAAAATCACCAGGCTCGCTTAAAAAAAAAACCTATCAAGCCCACAATGTGTGTGTGTGTGTGTGTGTGTGTGCAAAACATTTCCGTAATTCATTCGGTCTGTATGCTTGTTTGACAATAAAATATCAAAATAAATTATGGAAATGAAATCAAAGAAAAAAAATGACAATTTTTATATGGCAGAGTTTCCATTTCCTTTGATTCAATTAAGTTAGTAAGTAGATAAATGGATAAATGGATAGCTAGATAGTCGGGATGGATTTTGATCGGTTTGAAATTGTCCACCAATACCATAATAATGTGCACACACACACACACACACACACTCAACTAGCGCCACCAGCGCCATCAAAAGAACTAAATTTTTTTTTTAGTTTCAAAAATGAAACCAAAAAAAAAAGACAAAAAAACAGAGTGCAAGAGATTGATGACTGAATCTCATTTCAAGCATTTTTTTTGCTTTGTTTTTGTTTTTGTGTTCAGTACACACACACACACACTTGGTGAACATTAATTATATGTGTGTGTGAGTAATAAATATTTTTTTTCATGTTCAGCGATGGTGGTAGTGTGGTGTGGTGGTGGTGGTGGCGGTGGCGGTGGAAACGGAATACATGAAGAATAAAAGTTTTTTCGTTGTTGTTGTTGTTGTTTGAAAAAGAAACAGAAAAACAAAAATTCAGTCTATGTATGTTGCAAGTGTACATTTATTGTTTTTTTTTTACACATTTCAATTCAAAGTTATTCATTGCAATTTTTTCACTCTCTCTCTCTCTTTTTCTTTCTCTCAACTGATTTTTGGGTGATTTCTGGTTACAGATAGATAAGGTTGACAAGTGAACAGTTAGATGATAGAACAAAAAAAAAGGGACGAATACTGGTGAAGGGGGGCAGGCGGGTAATATTGTTAGGATGTATAAATGAATCGGATGGGCTATTGTTGCCATAAACGCACACACATGTGCCATGTGCCATCATCATGTTCCTCTAGAAACATAGAGTCAATAGAATTATGGTCGTTGAAATATAGAGAAAAAAAATAAAGTTATTCAAGGGGCAAAAGAATCCGATTTTTGTTGTTGTTGTTGTTGTTGTTATTATGACCAAAGAAAAAAAATAGCCAAAACTTTTCAAAATTCATTTTGAATTCGATCGCTTGCGCAACGATATTAAGATTAACGTACCTTGATTTGTTTTCATTGATTTTTTGTGATTTTTAATTCTTGATAATACCAACGATGATGATGATGATGATGATTGCGTTGAATCATTTGAAATCGATCAATGTGCATTTTGATAATGAGAAATGAATTCAACCGTTTTTTTCGTTGGTCGTTTGGCCGGTGTGTGTGTGTGTGTTTGTGTTTCAATTTTCTTTAGAAATCAATGGATTTTCACTTGGATGGTTGGTTGGTTGGTTGGTTGAAGGGAGAAAAAAATGACGATGACGATGACTACGATGGATGGATGGATGGATGGATGGGTGCGAAAACATTCATTGTATTCATTTACAATTTATATTCTATGAATCTTTTCATTTTTTTTCTATATGAATCGGATTCTCTCGTTTTTGATGATCCAAGTCACGTGTCACTGTTTTTTTCTGTCTTGCACAAATGTTGACTATTAAATACTGGTACACCATCATTTTTGATCGTTCATACGTTCGTTCGTTTACATTGATGTTTGCAATGGCACACGATCGTATCATTTACACACACACACACACACACACACCGTCCATCAGCCAAAACGTAAGAGAAAAAGCAAATAAGAAATATTTGGGTACCGAAAAATTTTCAAAAATAAATGACATTCAATGACAATGATGACGATATATACCGATAAATAGCCAAATCAAAAGTGTAAAATGGTCTCTGTGTGTGTGTGTGTGTGTGTGTAACAACAACATTTAACAAAATTCTGATGTTGATGATGATGTGACATTGACTACAACAACAACAATAACAACAACCCCCACCATTACCGCCATCATCATCATCATCATTATAGATCTTGTTGACAATAATGAAATGAGGATGAATATGTGCAATGTGTATTATGTGATATGTGACATTTTTTTTTTGTTGTGTATCAAGTATTTAGTAAGTATCAAGTTTTTTTTCAACATTCAAATCCAAATCCAAACTGATAGAAAATCAAAAGACAATCATCATCATGATCATCATGAATAGTGTTGATGATCATGATGATGATGATCATGATGATGGCGGTAATCAGTGAATCTATGTGATTTTTGATTTTAAACTTTAGTGTGAGTGTGTGTGTGTGTTTGCAATTGTATAGGCCACGTGTCGAAAATCGTTTTTTTTCATCATCTTCTTCTTCTTTGAATAAATGAACCAAAATAGTATAATGTCATTTGTATGGTAGAAAAACAAAAATCGATCTTGTCAAATCACTCTTTTTCTGTTTAGATTTTTCTCCTTCTTTTGTTCTTTTGGGGGTTATCTTCTCCACAACCGAATAAACCGATTGATGATGTATGGATTGTGGATGTTTAACGCGAGTTTTTTTTTCATTTCTCATTATCAACTTTTTTTTGTCGAAAAATGGTCATTTTATTTTTCATTTTGAATTTTATAGCACCATCTGTCGGTTTTTGAAAAAAACCTACAATTTGTTTACATATTTATCGATAGATGGCAACAACGGTTTTTTGTTGTTTATTTCATAACAATATGTGCCATCTGTTAACGGAGAATAAAACTATTTGAATTTCATTCTTTTTTTCCTGACAATGATTAGATCAAGTTTTTATTTTAAATAACAAAAAGGATAATTAATCATCATTTTTTTTAAATATCACAAAATCAAGAAAACAATTAGCAAATGAATACAGTCTGTCTGTCTGTATGTGGGTGTGTGTGTATGTGTGTGGGTGGGTGTACAATAATTGTGGATAAAGAATGAGATAATATGAATATGAGAACATCAAACATGGCAATCAATCAACGAATTGATTATAGATTGAATTATGAAATTCGATTGTGACAACAACAACAACAACAACAAAAAAGGTGGACAATAACAACGAACGGCAACGAAGAAGAAGGAGAACAATGTGTATGTGTGTGTGTTTTGTTTTGTTTTTTCTAATATTAAGCTGATAATTTCATATATTCCATCAAAGTACGCATTGCATATAGAATTTCTGCCTGTAAACGAGCTTCAGCAACCATTATGATAACATGAACTTTTTCCGATGCACGAAAACCTTTCATTACGGAACGGAAATCATGTCTAGATGTTAATTGTGGAAAACAAGCTAAATGTTTTATATAACATTTAAGTTGTCGTTCAAGTAAAATGTTTACTTCACGATAATTATAATCATCATGACGTATACCATATATACTTTGTATATAATTCCAAACAGCACGACGAAATGGCGATGTATCAATGTTGGTTTTTGGACCAAGCCTGTCAAAAGAAAATATAAATTCATTATTTTAAATCATTCATTTTACATTTACTTACGTATAATAGGTTAGATTATAACCAACTTTAAATTTTTCATCCAAAAAACTAGCTACATCTGGATAAAGATAATTAGAAAGGCTATAGCCTTGATCATCCCATTGATAATCCTGTATACGATATGTTGATGATTCTGATGTACGGCCACGTTTAGCAAAATCAATATAAACAAATTCTGGATCATCAATATAAACATTGAAATTATGTTTTTGCCATTCATCTTCAGACCATGTATTCGGTTTGAATTCACCATTATCAACAACAGTGATCATTGGTTTTGAATCAATTTTCGTTGTACTATTTGATCCAGATGTTCCATCATTATTATCATTATCATTATGTTTTGTAATCGTTTCTGTTGTAACCGTATTTGATGATGATTTATTATTATTATGATGATATTTGTTATGTTTCCTTTTTCCGGCACCACTTGTAGCAGCCGTAGCCAATGTAAATGAATTCATTATTTTTGCTAAATTTGCATCTTCCTGTTCCAATTGGCGACAACGTTCAACAATCAAACGTGATGCTGGACTACGTTTGACAATTTTTTTAATAGTACTACTACCACTATCACCATCAAAACGTAATTCTTCAATTTCAATCTCTTCATATTCACCATCTTCTTCTCCATTACATTCAGGTGGTTCATAACCAAAACGACAACCAAATGCCAATGAACATAATGAATGAAAATGTGCCATTATAATAATTGCATGCGTTAATTCTGGTAATGTCCATGAATTGATATTTTTTGTTAAACTCTACAAATAATAATGATAATCAATTAATTAATTTTTATCGATTATCGATCACAATCAATGAAAACAAAAATCATCACAAATCATTTACCTGACCAAATAATACCTGTATATGGGTAGTTTTCAATAACCATGGTTGATGTGCAAGAATTTTATTGATAGTATTTAATGATTGTAATTTGATCGGTGCATATTCCAGTCCTTTCAACCAATCAGCATCACCACCAATGATTAAAAATTGTTTACGCAAAAAATGTACTAAATATGAACAACGATGTCTTGATGCGGCCATAATGGCCACATAATATCGAACAGCTGGATTGATTGGACCAATATCACGCATTATGAAATTATGTGCACGTATCAATGGTATAGTGTATGTTGGATGACAGCCAATATATTCGGTGAATGTTTTCTCTAGATAATCTTCTTTTTGTTGCTGAAAATGAAATGAAATGAAAATTTCAACAATTTCAAAAAAATTTCTTTCATTTTCCCCAACAAACCTGACGATATTTATTCGACATTTTGTCTTGCTTTTTATTTTTGTTTTTATCCACTAAATTCACAAACATTAAATCATCCGTATTACATTGTTATAAACGAAAATTGAATGATTTTTTTTTTTGACCAAACAAGAAAAAAAATGACCACCACATAAAATTAACGGTGTAACCTGTTGCTGTATGGATGAGAAAACAATGTGAAAAAAAAATCAATCGGCATGAAAATCAAAATCAAGTTTTTTTTTCAAATGAAAATTTAAATTCATTTTTAGTCTATTTTTATTAAAAACAATGAGCAATCAACAAACAAAATGTTTGCCATTATCGATCATAATGAGAGAGAGAGAGAAAGAGAAAAAAAATGGGCAATCAACCAGCCAAAACAAAACAAAAAACTACATTTACAGTGGTCTCTTGTCTATGGTGTTTGGCATTTGATGCTTTAATCATCATCATATAAATCCTATCCGTGTGTTTTTTTTTAAACAACCAAAATGAAAAAAATAAATAAATGCTACATCGATCGATATCCATCCAATCGAAATTCATTCAAATACATCATTTATGATTAAAATGAACATCTGTCATTGGTCCGGTTGTGAACCAAAAATTTTTTGGCCACAAACAAAAAACCATAGAAAACAGCTAATTAAATTTTAAATTTTAAAATTTGAAATTCTACTCAGCTAAAGTATGGAAAAAAATGTGCCATTGGCAACAAGAATTTTTTCATGTGTATAGAAACATAAATCATCAGCTTGTAAACATGTGTGTGTGTGTGCGGTGTTTTTTTTTCTACTCACTCTGTTGTCATCATCATCATCATTATCGTTAGAGATTATATTATGGTAATAATATCAAAATCCAAAGTATTGCACTTATGTTATCTGTGCATTTTCTTACATATCATCAGATTTTTTCTTTTTTTTTGATAATTTTATCAATAATTAAAATGGTCAAAGTGGCGTTGATGATGATGATGATGATACGGCGGCTGTTGCTATCCACACCATATAATGTAACAACAACAACAACAACAACAACAAAACTAAACACCCAACCAAATTGATTGAAAAAAAAATCAAAATTTGATTAAACGTACGTACGATCGCACCACAAATGAATGAATGAATGATGATTTGATTTGATCATCGACACAAACATGCACACACACACACACACACACACATTGTTGATTAAGAAATTTATCTTTAAAACAACGAAAGAGAGAGAGAGAAAAAACACCACTCTCATTCATTTTTTTTATATTCTCCATTTGAAAATGTACTTTTTGGTTTGGTTTGGCCGGATTCTGTACACACTGTAGTGCTCGAATCGAAGAATCGACCATAGAAAAACACGCACACACACACACATTTTTTCGGAACTTGAAAAGAAAGAAAAAAAAGCAATTGCCTCGTGATTTAATCATTAAAGAAGAATTAATAAAAATGTACAAAAAAAAATATGAATGCATTTACGTCAAACGAGAATCAGAGAATAATAATAATTTTCATCATCATCATCATCATTTATTCACAATCAAATAATCACCAAATCAATAATAATAATCGAACAAAGAAAAACAAGATGAAAGAAAAACAAAACGAAAAAAATTAATTGAAACAACAATTCAATTCTTGTTAAAATGTCAATGTCAAAATATAATAATTCCACCAAAAAGAAAAACCACCGACAACTAGATTCTAATTTTTTTTCCGGAAAAAAAAAAAAGAAAATTGGAACAAAAAAAAAATAAGTAGAGATGTACTTTCATTTGTTCTCTTTTTTAAATTCTCGTTAATAATCCACCACCACCACCACCGACACATTTAGTTTCAAATTTCTAATACCAAAAAAACGTTAAAAACAGGGAAAATTTGGAAACAAAAGATGAAGATGAAAGAAACAAAAAAAAAAAAGAAAGAACAAAATGAGCTACTTGAGCAGAGAAAAAAGAAAATTTTTTTTTTCTTTCGTCTGATTCATGTGAACAGAATTATTTCATAATCGTTACATTTTTCCACATCTAAACAATATCGTCATTTTGAGGGAAAAAACGCGTAGGATTCAAGCAACAGCAGAAACAGAAGCAGCAACAGCAGCAGTAGGCGTCAATGTGAAATGTGGATTTAAATATAAATATAATATAAATCAAAAGGTTGAAAGTACTCAGTTTATTATTTCATAATTCTGTTATTTTCTTTCATTTTAATTTTTTTTCCAACTAAATCCGTTTGTTCGCTTTGTTGTTCGTGACAAATGACATTTTTTGACGCCATGACAGAATTCATTTAGTCTTGTGATCAACGGTGATGACAGTGTGTGTGTGTGTGTGTGTGTGTGTGTGTGTTCGAAACAAGAATAATTCTCTCATTTAATTCGATTCAAAGCACGCAAAAAAAAAAAATTTTTTGTTGATTGAATAAAGAACAAAGAGAGAGAGAGAAGGTGAAAAAAGAATTTAAAACATTTGAAATTCTCGAAGAATTCAAGCAGAGTATTATATTGCACACTTTTCATATTGGCAAAAAAATTTTCATGTTTTTTTTTGAAATGTCAATTTTTTTTTTCAAAATCAAATGCCACTTACCTCGTTAATGATTGATCGTTTAATTGATTACTAATTTTTTTTTCGTTATCAATAAAATCGATTGGTCAATTGTTTTTGACCACGGAAAAAAAAACAAAAAAACAAAAAACAAAAACAAAAATCATCGCCCAAAAACATATACAATATATAATACAGTCAACGTCAACGTTTTTCTTGATTTTTACCACTGGTTCAAAAAAAAAAAAGACTTGAACTCACACTCACAGGTCACAAGCATATGTGTGTGTTTGTGTGTATGTATAAGTCTACCAACAACAAAACGGTTTTTGCCGACTTGATATGAACTCATCTTTCTCTCTCTCTCTCTCTCTCTCTCATCATCATCATTTTTTTTATTATTAACAAAGTATAACTGGTAGTATACAAGCACCATCATAGACAACAATGTGTGATAGACAGATAGATAGATAGATGGATGGATGATGGATGGATGGATGGATGGATAACACACACACACACACACACACACACACACACTCACTCAGGGTTAGATGATAAATAAACCTCCCATTAATAGTTTGATTTGATATATATAAAAATTTTTTTTTTATTTCTAATTCTCAATAATGGTCAGGTTTTCTCACTCATTCTACAACAACAACAACAACAACAACAAAAATGCTGAAAACTTGAATTACAATCCATTATACCATCCATCCATTGTATCATCAAGTTATTTTTTTTAAAACATATATATATGGCGCTACTGATTGAACTTTGTCAATGACCTTTTTTTTGATTTGATTGTGGTTTTTATTACAATGTTGCGCAGAATAAACAAGAAAAAATAAATTGTTATACAGGTGTCATGAAGTGTCAATTGCAATTGTCTGAATGTCAATTCATTCATATGTGATACAAATTCAGGTTTTTAGATTAAATTTTTGTTTCTTTTTCTGCTAAATCATTGTTGTTGACAATAATGGCGGGAGACAGATAGAGAGGGAGAGAGAGAGAAAAACATTTTCAACGAACAAAAAAATCTAGGGAAAAAAAGAATTTACAATCAAAATAAATGAATGAACATTTACCTGTTTGTTACATGTTTTATAATTATAATAATGACACAACAATGGTACTTTTATTGGCCATTGTTTTTTTTTAGATTGACAACGATGAAAAATTTATTCAAAATTCAATATAATATCGATGGATGGATGGATGTATGGATGTATGGATGATTGGTGATGATAATGATCAGAGTGATTGGCGACGAATGATCAAAACCGAAATGATTCTGGTGGAATAATGGAATTGAAATAAAAAAAATTTTTGTCACACTCACACAGACACACAGAGAGAAAAAATAAATTAAATTTGATATATAAGAAAAAACTTGAATTACATCACATACGCATACGCACATATTTTAATTGGAAAAAGCATCAAGAACGCCCACACACACACACACACACAAACGAAAAAAAATTCAACAAATTTTTTTCCAATGTTTTGAATAGACAAGGATTGTTTTTTATTGTTGTTGTTGTTGTTGAAAAACAATGTTGAAGAAATAAAAAGTAAAAGAAGAATAAAATACCAATAACCAGAAAAAAACCAGGTTTTTGTTTATTCAGAATTGTTTTGTTTGATTTGTTTTTTTCTGGTGATATATGGATTGCGTCATGTCATCATCATGCCATCAGAGAGAGAGAGAGAGAGGAGAGTCAGTCGCATACACACACATCATGCACATTTTTTCAATATACTACTTCTGCTTAGCTGCTGCTTTCGGAATGTTATAATTTTTTTTTTTATTTTCGAGTTTGCTCCATAATGATCACATCATCATCATCATAATCAATTTGTTGCTTAATAAAATGGGCTAACAAGTTTACATAAATCACACAAACGAACACACACACATATAAACATTTTTTTTGGGTTAATATATGTAGTAGGATATATAAAATTGAATCTAAGAAGAAAATGAATGAATGAGAATGCTCCTACATCATCATGATAATAATGATGATGATCATGATGATCAAATTCAAAATGTGTCCATGGACAAGAGAAAAATTTTTTTTTTGATGAAAACGAAACGAAACGAAACGAAAAAAAACAAACAAACAAAAATCATAACAGCACAAATGATGATGATAATCAATGTCCTTGTCTGATGTAATTGATAATGATGGTGGTCGTGGTGGTGGTGGTGGTGGTGATATATATGGCGTGTTGAATATTTTCATTTCACTTTTAACGCAAAAAAAAAGTTTCAGTAGATGCATTATTTTAACATTGCTGGTTGTAGTTGCTGATACTGCTGCTGCTGCTGCTGCTGCTTCCAGACAAATGCCGCTGATGCTATATTATTAATTTTTTTTTCTGGTTGTTATTTATCGGCAAAAAAAATTTTTTGTTGTTGTTTTTCACGTGTTGTTGTTGTTGTTGTTGTTGTTTAGACTGATGTTTTTTGTCGACATTTTTTTTTCTTTTTCTTCTTCTTCTGGTAGTTTTTTTTCCAGACTTTTTTTTCTATTTATTTGTTTTTACGTGTTTTTTTTGTTGTTTAGTCTGGAACTTGTAGAATTTCTTTCTCTCTCTCTCTCTCTCCGCTGTATGTGTTTTGTTTATGTGCGCGTTTATTATTTCTAGCTGTGAATAGTTTAATTACAATAATGCAATCTCTGTATGTCTGTGGATCTTTGTTTTTTTTTTCTATGTTCACAAAACATCACACAAAAGTCACATGCTTTTCTTTTCTCTCTCTCTCACTACCACTTTCATTTATAGCAACATTTATAACTCGCTTTTTGTTTATATATATGTTTTCACATATGATGATTTTATTATGGTGAACAAAAAAAATCAAAAAAAAAATCATATGATGCTATAAATGAACAAGAAGAAAATTTACTTGTGTTGTTGTTTATATAATAAACGACAGAAAAAAAAGAAAGAATTGAATCGAAGTGAAACTAAAAATAAAAAACTTAATGAACAAAAATTTTATTCATTTTTTTTTCAAACAACCATACTATAACCAACGAAAAATAAAGTTCATTGTAACCCAATATATTAATATTTTTATTATATGATTAGTTATGTAATGTAAATACGAGCTGCTTCTGCTATTGTTGTCTCTAATAGACAAATTGGTTTGTGTGTGGGCGTTATATATATATGATAATTTTTTTTTTTTTTTGAATTTTGTAAAAAATTTTCATTACATCGTTTTCATTGTTATTTTTAATTAGGTTTTTTTGTTTCTTTTTGGATAAATATGAAAATGATGACTTTTTTTTTGGTTGCTTAATAAATGCACTATATATATTGAATATATTTGATTGATTGACTGTGGTAAGTTGTTGTCAACCAGCCAATAAATCAATCAATCAATCATCGATATCGATATTATATTGATATATGATGATTATTATCATTTTGGGTGAAAAGTGCAGACACAATTATAAACAAAAAAAAAATCAAACGCATTTTAATGTTTTCTAAACATTTCCGCATCATCAGGACACCAGGAAAATCAAATCATCGATTTTATGATCAAATTTTTTTTTATTTATTCATCTTGATGTGTGTGTGTGTTTGTGTGTGTGTGCGTGGATTTCATTGATTTATATTTATATAAACATTTATTATTTCATCATAAGACACGGATTGTAAAATAATTTTTGCTTTTTTTTTTTTTTTGTTCAGAAAATCGAGAAAAAAAATCAATCAAAATATTTATAAAGACACAAGATTATATACAATTTACATTACACAAGCGCAAACAAACACGAAACAAATTTAGAAGAAATAAAAAACAAGACAAGACAATATAAAATATATTTACAGAAAATTTTACAACAAAATTAACAAAAAGAGAAAAAGTAAAAAATAAAAATTTTTTTTCCCCAGTCCACTTCAGGTTCAACGAGAAATTCCATTTGAACGTTGTTGTTGACATCCATACGATGATGATGATGATGATGGTTGTTGTTGATGTTGATGTTGTTGATGACTACCACCAACATTTGTAGTAGCCGCAGTAGTAGTGGCCATTGCAGCATAAATAATTGTCTCAAATTTTAAATGTAAATGTTCTTGCTGTGCTTTTGGTTCATTTGACAATGATTGAAATATTTGTTCTTTATATGCAATACAATATGTCAATAATTGATCTAATGATTTATCTTTATGAATTTTTCCTTCAAATGTCTATGAAAAAAAAAAATGAAACAAAAGACAGAATGATTGTAATTAATAAAAAAAAAAAAAAAACTGACAGAAAAAAAACATACCTTTGAAACATCTTTCATATAGGCAATAATATCACTTTCTTTTATCGATGGTAATAATGAAATATCTTTATAATATTCATTTATAATTTTTTGATAATTTGCATTATCACGTGCATATAATAATTTACTGCTACTACTGTTATTTGGATCTTTATTGAAAATTTTTCCATTATTCTCATCATTATTATTATTATTATTATTACTACTACTATGGCTTCCATTGGAAACATTTCCATTTCCATTATTATTATTATTATTATCATTCATGATCAATTGATTATGATGATGACGGCATGTATCGATTAGATTTTGTGCCAAAACATCCAAACAAACATCGATACTAATATTGCTTTGTATGTCAAACAATATCTCCGGCATACGTAATATGGTGACCCAGAATCGTAGAATTAAACTATAGTTTAACAGAAGAAGAAAAATAATGAATTGACATCAAAACAAAAAGAAAAACATTTTTTTTTTTGTTACCTGTTACTTTTCCATTGTGCCAATATATCCGAATCGGTTATTGAATTTTTCATTGCTTCTTGATCAAAAAAATCAAATAACCATTTTATTGCTATTGGTAATCGTTCATTAACAGTGAAAATTGTATGAAAAACATCATCAACATATTGTTGTATTGTTCCTTTTGTTGTTAATAATCTGGTCAAATAAATTTCCGGTATCGATCGATTTATAAGATATGTTGATAATGAATTCAATGTATCATTCGGTTGTTGCTGTTGATGTTGTGAATTTGAACAAAATATCGATGCTAATAATGATGATGCCGATGTTGTCAATATGGATAATGGTGAACCATTATTGGCTATTGTTGCCGTCGTCAATGTTGTTGTCGTTGTTGTCGGTTGTAATGCTGTTTTTGGCGTTGATATTGCTGCCAATGAATTCATCGATACAGAAGAATTATTAAAACCACCACCACCACCATTTATTATTGGTTCCAAATTCATTTGTGATGATGATAATGCAGCTGAAGCTGCTGCTTCAGCCGCCAATTGTGATGATGATTTGGCATTTGTTTTCGGAAATTGCTTTGTAAAACAATGTCGTTGTCGTCGTCGTAATGCACGTCGTTGACGAATGGTACGTAGATTACGAAGGCTATAAGATTTATGGTTATTCATCAATTCATCATAATCATCATTATCATTATGATTTTGAAGAAAAGATACACCACCAGATACACCAATAATACAATCATTAATTAAACTAGATGGTTTAACTAAATGCCATATATTATGTCGTCGTCGTTGTCTTTGTTCATCATTTTGATTATTGGAAGAAGCCACAGTAGAATAATTATCATTATTATTAGCTTGTTGTCCATAATCACTATTGGCCATCAATAAACGTTGATTATTATGTAATGTATGATTTATACGTCGTTGTTGTCTTTTCGGTGTTGATGTTCGTTTCATGAATAAACTAAGACGATCATAAACATTACGTGCAAATGATCGACGATTATTACGATGATGTTGATTATTGATTATTGTTGTTGAATTTAATCGATATGATGATGTTGATGATGATAATAATTGATTTTTTGGCTGCAATAATAATCTTGATTGATGATTTGGTGTAAATAATGTTGATGAATTTGGCGTTGAATTTGTCAATGTTTGATATGTTAACAATGTATTTCCACCACATGCTTTACGTTGATTGCCATTTTGTGTTACATATATTTCTTCCGGACGAAATATCGATGGTGATCTTTGATGATAAATATATGATTCATATCTTTGTTGTTGTTGTTGTTGTTGTGGTTGTAATGATGATAATCCATAATTAATTACTGCTGCCATTGGTGGTCTCATACGTGTAGAAGATGTTTCCGATGATAAATTATAAATATTATCCTGATGATAACCATAGAATGATGAATCATGATTAGAATTTCTATCTGCCGGTATTTGTTCATAAAGATGAAATTCTGTATTTTCATCATCATCATCGTTTGTTATTGAATTGTCATATATTTCATTACCAGCAACACCACCACCATCACCACTAGAAATGATATTGGATTCATGATGATAACGATAATTATTTACTGTTGTTTTGTGGTGGTGGTGGTGGTGGTGGTGGTGGTTGTACCTGGGAATCTATTTGGATCGATTTACGTGGATTATTATTATTGGATCGTTTCATATTTGTAGCAGTAGTATTAGTAGCAGTTGTAGTATTAATATTACCAGAATATAATGATGATGGTGATAATGATAATGATGATGATTTTGTTGGTCTTATGGATAAATATAGTATAGCACCATCAGTAATACCATAATGTGATATTGTATTTAAACGTCTCCAAATGGCTTCATTTGCCGTTAAAATCTGTGTAGAATGATCATAATCATCGAGAAGAATATCAGCCATTTCTAATGATGAAATATTACTATGACGACTAGCATTATATATTCTATCGGCATCATTTTTTGACATTAATGATGCAACACCATACAAATCTTGATATAATACTGCGGTTGTCGATGATTGTTGATTTGAATTTGCATTTTTCGGTGAACGAATTGTCATTATTGCTGGTTGCTGTTGCTGTTGTTGTATATTCTGTGATTGATAATCACTATTGAAACTTGTTTCAGTTCCATTATTATAATCACCAATATTTTGATTTATTTGTTGTCGTCGTAATGTTGATGACGTTGATTGTTGTTGTTGTTGTTGTTGTTGTTGTCTAGGTTTTAAACATCTCCAATATAATTGTACATCATTTATGGATGGTCTTTCAATATTCGGTACATAACGATATAATGAATCGATAATTTTTTGCTTAACCTGTGTTATTGTATCACAATCTAATATACGACATGGATAATAGCCACCATCACCATCATCATAATCATCATTATCATCATCATTATCTTTATCAATTCCGGTCATTGTTGTTACATCTGTTGAACTTGTTTGATCACCACTTCCACTTCCACTTCCACTACCACGACCATTATTATTATTGGCGTTGTTGTTGTTGTTGGTTACAGCCATTCCGTTAATGTGGAAATCTTGTACCGGTGTACTACTACTATGATTCTGTATAATGTCATCTACATTGTTATTGTTGTTAATAGAATGATGATCATTTGTTGTTGTTTGATGATAATCCATTATTATCGATTTTTTCATTATTCGATTATTATTAATCGAACGTAATGTTGTTGATGTTGATTGATTCGCAATCCAACGTCGTTGTTTATTATTACTATTATTGATTCGATTTGCATTCGATAATCGATTAATCGATATTGGTAATGTTTGTTGTAATTTATCATCCAAAAATACATGTACAGTTAATGTTTTATAATCGATTTGTTCACGTAATAATTTCTCTTCCGATAATGAGTATCTAAATTTGGGAGAAAAAAAATTTTTAAAAAATTTCAATTTGTACTACACAAAAAATAAATACCTAGAATTGCCAGTAACAAAATCGACTGGACCTTTATCGATTTGATGTTTGATCGCAGAGAATAGTAAAAACAATGGACCACTTGATACTTCACGAGCATATTTATAAAGACAAATCGATAGCCAATCGATGAGCATTTTTTCGACAATCGTTTCATTGCATTTAATTAATTCTAATGTTGAATGTTTATTTGTTGCAAAACGATCAATTAATTGTGATAATAATTGTCTCATTATATCGAATGAATATTCCATACGATCCAATAATGTAATCATTAATAATGATGCAAAACGCATACGTTCAGTAATTGAAAATGATTTTTTTGTCTGTTTTTCCAATGTATCGATCAATATTAATAAAAATGTACGATTCATTAATAATTGTTCAAATTGTTCAATTACAATCGATGGCCGTTGATAATTTTGTTGCTGCTGTGTATTGTTATCATTACTATTATTGATTATTGATGATCGATTAATTGTGTAAAAATTTTCAACAGGTTGTGATCCATTATTATTATGATTATTATTGTAATGAAAATCATTCATTAATAATTGTGGATCAATTGGCAATAATGATAATTTATCATGATTATCGATATTACGAAAATATGGTGAATAATACCAATACATTTGATTTAAATAATTTAATTTCAATAATTGCTGTGAATTATTATTAATCATCATCATCTTTAATGATCGTGATGATGAATGACCACCACCACCATGACTACCAATGCCACCGTTATCTAATGACATGTTATAAATATTGTTAACTTTATTTGATGTTATTGTCATCGATGATGATGAAGCTGATGTCAATGATGTTGATGACAATGATGATAATGCTGGTGGTGGTGATGATGATGATGATAATGCTGCTGCTGGTGCTGGTAGTGGTGGTGATGGTGGTGACGGTAGTGGCCATGGTATACCAGAAACGAAAAACATTCGTAATAAAAATGTTCGTTCATCATGTGTTGGCAATGGAATGGTTTGTAGATCATCGATATTCAATAATCCATTTGAATGTAAAATATCGGTTTGTAGTTCGGCGAATGCTTGTTTACATTCAGCACGTACATTATTCTCCAATGTATCCATTTGTAATTGTATACGTTTATATTCACGTTCAGCTTCTGTTTGTTTATTTTTATATGCAGCCAATATAATTATCGATACGATTGTCAATATTGTACCAATCAATATTGATATGACAATCAATAATTCTACATTGAATGAATTATTATTATTAACAGTATCGAAACGATTACCACTACCAGCACCAACACCACCAAATGATGGATGATGATTTTGATGATAAAATCTTGATAATGAATCTTGATCTAAATTTGGTGGATGACCACCACCAAATTGTTGATCATTAAAACCGGCATAAAAATAATCTGAATAATAAATATAACCTAAATGGCGACGCATATTACCAATTTTCAATACAATGGCCGGTAATTCAATTGAATTACGACGTCCTAATTCATCGGTTGGTGCAGGTGGATAAACTGGTGGCTGACAGATAATTTGTCTCATATTCACCGATGTTAAATTACAACGTTGTTGACCAATAGTAATGTTTAATTCAAATTCATTCAATAACAATACGGCAAGATTTTCACCTTCAACAATGATAACATCACCTTTGAATGGTAATACATTATCATTGTGATTATCATTATTATTATGGCCACCAATAGTGATTGATTTTCCTTGTCCATTATTCAATGAATAAATTATTGGATCCGATACATAAAGCATGTTTGAATCAACATGTGGATAATATTTATCCAATTCTAATACTGTTATTGTATCGTCCATTAAGAAACCGATTTGTAAATAAATTTGATTAGGTATATGATGCAATGTTGAATTATTATTACGATGATTATGTTGATGATCACGATGATGATTGATGATGATGATGATGATTATTATCACGAAAATTTGTTTGACTTAGATTACTAGCCAATAATTGTAGATCACCATTTATCATTGGTGATTGACACAACATTTTAATTGGTGAATGAATTGTACAGATCTGCCAAAAAAAAAAAATATTAGAATTACTAATGAAAACTAAATGTAAAAAAATGGATGACAAACCGATTCATTGATTAAACGATATTGATCAATGATATTTATCATTCCTTGATTTGGATTATTATTTAGATCCATTTTTGGTTGTTGTAACTGTTGATGATTATTGTGAATATAATGATGATGATGATGATGATGATGATTATTATTATTATTATTATGACCATTGTATGTTGGTGTCCATACTGTTGGATAATGATGATTTATTTGTTTTTGTTGATGATGATTATGATGTGATTGTGTGATTCTTGGTACAAATACCAACATTCGTGGCTGTTGTATAGAAGTAAATTGTGATCCAGTCACCGTTATCATACGACCACCAGAAAAGAAACTTTGTAATGGTTCAATACGATCAATTGTTGGATCAGCCGTATAAAGAAATGGATTAGCCAATGTATAATTAGCACCATCAATCATTAAAATAAGACGTGTTACAACATATGATGGATATGGTGCTGCACTTGTACGACAGCTCATTTGAAAGCTACTAGCTAAAGCTCTGTATAAACAACAACAACAACAAACAAAATGAATTAAAAATTTGAAAAAAAATCCAAAACAAAAACAACATTACCGTTCAACATAGCAAGGTAAATCATCCAAATAGATGGCAACATTTGAACCGATATTTAGATTTTTTCCACTCAAATATATACGTGTACCACCAGATTGTGGACCAATTTTTGGATTCACGTCAATCAATTCGATAATCTAAATTTGGATAAAACAAACGAAAATTTTGATGAGTAAAAAAAAAAGAAAAAGCTGTCACTGGCTGTTTTAGCCAATGATTAATGAATGATGATTTGAAAGCGAAAAAAAAATGACAATAATCATCATCATCATCATCATCGTAATTATTTAAATGAAATGCGCCATCTAATTATCATAAAATTGAAAACAAAAATCTTTCCGAAAAACAAAAACAAAATTGTTCACTTGTCATTCATTCATTCAGGAGAAGTAAAAAAAAATTGATTGCAATGATTTGGTGGTCAGCTGTTTTTCTTCGTTTGAAAATTCTTTATTATTCTGTGCATATGAAGATATATTCTGTTTGTTTCCCAAAAAACATGATTGTAGGTGTCTATGGTCTGCTGTATGTCTGTATGGTATGCATAATATAGTTATAAAAATTTAGCAAAAAATGACCAGAAAAGCTAAACTGGTAGAATTCAATATTTGCATGTGAATATCATTCATTCATTCACTCATCCAACTAATTCATCCAACAAAAAAAAATAGCTAAACTAATTGTCTTCATATGCAAATCAGAATGAATGCATGTTTTTTTCAGTTTTTGTTTTGGTTTTAGTTTTTTTTTATTCATATGAATGTGGCTCTGCGGGATTTCTCAAAAAAAAAAAAAAAAAAAAATATCAGTTAGTAGCGGTGGTGGACAATTGGAAAATTTATGATTATTGTCGTTGTTGTTGTTTTTGTTTTCTCCAAAACAACAACAACGACAATGACCACTGAAAAAAAAATTTGACCATTTGGCGTTGGTAGGCAAAAAAAAAAAAAAGAGAAAAGTGGGATGGTTACAATAATGATAATATTCTAATTGAAATGATGAAATGAAATGAATTTATAGTCGACTGTCATCATCATCATCATCATTTTATAAAATTAATTATTCTCATCATCATCATCATCATTAGAAGATTGTAAGTCAATTTTGGGCATTTTTTCTAATATTATGGATGATGACCATGGTCACCAATGACCAACAAAATCATCATCAGATCATTTTTTTTCAATGTTGGCTAAATCAATGAACAGCTCGTTCTCTATTTCATCGAGAACAAATTGGAACAAATTCAATTTAATTAGAACCAATCAAAATTAATGTGCACAAAAAATGATGATGATGATGATGATAAAAATGGCCATAAATTTAGCCTAAAAATAAAATCCAAATCGAATCAGAATTAATAAAACGAAGAGAGATGGTGAGAGTGAGAGTGAGAAGCCTTATTTATTAGCCTTTTGCATTAGATTGGATTGAATTCAATTTGATTATATCGTTTTTATTTTGTATAATAGAACCACACAGCCACCACCACCACCACCACACAATGAAAAAAAAACCACAAAATAAATGATCATCATTATTATAAATCATCATCATCATATAATCAACGATGAAAATAATCTTTGTGGCTTTTCAGGGAAAAAAATGTCCACACACACACACACAGACAAAATGTGGATCCACCATTTTTATGTGTGTGTGTGTGTTTATGTGTATGATGATATGGATTCAATCATCACCATAAACCAATCAACGAACAAACGAAAAATTTTTTTTTTCTTTGAAATCCTAATTGATTGTCTGTGTGTGTGTGTGTATTAGAATGGAAATTTAAATTATCATTTTCATTTTACCAATTTCTAGAATTGATTGAAAAATCAATTTTTTTTCAATTCAAATAACCAATAAATATTCATTCATTGTACAACACAATGAATGAATGAATGAATGGTCAACCAACAGAAAACTTTTTTTTCTCGAAAATTTCAATTCAAAAATGTCATAAACAGAGGATTTGTTGTTGTAAAAAATTATCATTTAAAATAATTACAGAAAATAATGCTAAAAAAATAAAATACAGGACAACAACAAAACGGTCAAACCAATATCATCATCATGATCATAATAATCAAACATCGATCGGTGATGATCATTCTGGGATCCAGCCTAAATCCATTTTCTCAATTCTTTTCTCGCTCTGGGTGTGTGTGTGTGTGTTTGATGGAACAAAAATCGATTTGTATTCTCTATTATAGAGAGATTCGAAGGAATTTTTTTCTTTCTTTTCTTAGAACATAGAATGATCGGATTGTAATCGGAAAGAAAAAAAAAAAAAACAATGATAATAATTTGATGCTAAAACTGAAATTATTTTTTTTTCTATTCTTTACTTGCATGTAATCGACAGACGGGTGTATCCTGGTGGTGGTTAAGATGGACATGGATCGAACAACAAGATCCAAAGAATGTGTTTGTTTTTATTTTCATTTTCTAGTTTGTATGTTCTCTCATTATGTATGTTTTTGTTCTGTGTGGATCAAACAACAGAATTTTGGACAATGGACAGAATTTTTTCTATGGCTTATTATTTAGGTGGTTCTTGGAATTTCAATTTCTCGGTTCTTGTAGACGGATTGTTCAATTATCTGCAATTAAAATACTGTGTTTATCGAGAATTTGTAGAGGGTGGTTAGTTGGTAGTAGTAGTTATTATAGCTGTAATAACAACAATGAAAAGAAGAAATAAACCACTACGACCACCACCACCACAAATGTGAACATGGAAAATAAATAAATAAATAAAAAAACCTAAATGAAAAGACCATTTTTGTGTGTGTGGTTGATGTGTTGTATGATTTTAATCGTTGAACAAGAAAAAAAATTTGCAATTCGGTTATTGCATAATAATAACCGATATGTTAAACAAACAAACAAACAAGAAAGAAAGAAAAAGAAAGAAAGAAAGAAAACATGTAAGACACACACACAAACAGAGAACATGGATACGAATACGACAGAAATAAAACAATAAATTCAATATGTTACCGTTTGGTTTTTACATTCAATTTACCAAGAAACAAAGAGAAACATCATTGAATAATAATAATAATAATAATACGAAGTATTATGTTTCATGGATGACATTAAGATGAAACAAAAACGTTTTCTCTCTCTCTCTCTCTAATATTGAATGACAAAACAAATTACTTGGTTGATTCATTCATTCATTTTTTTTGTCTTTGTTGAGACAAATTATGTAAATGATAATGATGATGATGATGATGATGAAAAAAATATTAGCAAATTGGGTGTATGGATTGTTTCTTGTGTGTTTGAGAGAGAAAATGATTACTTACTTTATATTGAAATTTTTCCTGTGCTCTTGTAACGCCTGCACGATTACCAATAATAACGAATGCTGATTGTGGACCAATCATACTGGCACCGGTACGGCAAACAATACGTATTGATACATTATATTGTATTGGTTCACATGGTATACCACCGATTGATACACGATCTTTAATCTCATCAAACGATGAACCAAGATTTGAACCTTCAATCGATACTAATGTACCACCTTCAATTGGACCAGATATTGGATGAATCTGTGTGTGTGTGTGTGTGTGAATTTAAAAAAAAAATTTAATAAAAAATCTGCTGGATTTATTTTTTTTTTTCGTGCATATATTTACATAATCAATTCTTGGTGGTGGACATGTATTGATAATTGGTAAATCTGTACATTGATCATTATATAAACATTGATTTAGGCACCAAACGCAGCCAAATTTATTGTCACGTGTTTGACAAAGTGAACAATCAGCACGGCCAGCATATGCACCCAAATATTGACATTTATATATGGTGACTGGAAATGATTTCAATGATGAACAATAAATGGATAGAAGGATGGATGGATGCAAAAAAAAATAAAATAAAATAAACGAAAATAAAGTAAACAGAAATTTTAATTATATTTTCCCCATTTCATTTTTTCAATCAACTTACAATTCGTACGATCAATAAATGTATCACTGTTCCATAATACGGTCAATGATGCACGTTGTTGGCCAATTTCTTCCTGATATGATAACTGATTGATTGAAAAAATACAAACACAAAAAAAATGAAACGAAAAATTGATCCAAAAATTCAACAACAACAACAACAATCATCTATCAATCAATCAATCAAACAATCGACTGGGTAAACCATTTACAAACGTTGACGTCGTAGCGATAATTTTATTTGTTTAATAATTTTTCAAATTTCAAATTATCGGATGAATAAAAAAAAACAAACAAACTATATATCAGCAAACCAAATATGTCATCTCGGCTGCTACATTGTCTATGAATAGCTCCAGTCGTGTTTATTTATTATAATAAATATATAAAAAACAAACTTACCATCAATTCATTACAGATGATTTTATTATCACTAATACGTGCTTGTACATTTGCTTTTGCTTGTTCAATTTCAATAATACATTGAAAACCATCACTTGATGGTATTAGATTTCGTATCTCTACACTTAATTCACGACGTTGTCCATTAGGTACAACAATTTCTTGTTCAATATTGAATGACGGACAATGTTGTACGCCTTTGATCAATGAATTTTGTGCGCTCTATTCGAAATGAAAAAATCAATATAAAGTGCATATCATCATTATTGACAAGAAGAAGAAGAAGAAGAAAAAAAAACGTGTAAAATACTTACATTTTCACCAACAATCATACGTCGTGTACATAATGATGTGTTATATGTACAAAGATTTTCATGCATACACCAATTACAATCCCAGGCACTCATGACACATGATTTACATCTTTTTGTTATCCGAACAAAAAAAAATTGAAAAATAAATGAATGAATTTCAATTATTAATTATTATAAATTGTAAATTGCAATCGTCATCAAGTGAAATGGAAGAAAAGAAAATGGAAAAAAAACTAATTTTCATTGAATGGAATTTTTTCCATTTTTTCTACATATACAGAATATTCTTTGCATTGAAAAAGTGTGACACACACACACACACGCATACACAATCTCTGGCTTATTTCATTTTTATTTTGTAGAAAAAAAAAGAATTTCTTTGCTCTCAAAAGATAAAAAAAGGCTTTTTTTCGCAATGAAGAAAAAAAAATCAATGAATGAATGAATAAATGAAATTCTTAAGCAAAAAAAAAAAAAAAAAATGTAACGAAACAAAATGAGAAAAAAAAACTAAAAAATATTGATCATTCGGTGATGATTCTGGAAACGAAAAATCCTACGGTAATTGAATCATCATCATCATCATCATCATATGAGGATTCTTTTTTTTCTTATTATTCTATGTAGAATAAATCCAAAATCGAAATGAGATGAATGTTCTATTTTCTTACTCTTAAATAATAATCAAATTATCGTGGAAAAAAAATCTAAAAATCCCAAATTCTATCGAATGAGGAATGTGAGAAACAATCACCAAAAAAAGATGATGAATAACATTGACGATTTTTTTCTGTGTCAATTAATATTTCTTTTTCGCTTTCGTTTCGTTTCGTTTTTTTTGGGCAAATATCAAAATCAAAAGAAAATGAACATGAACATTTTCACAGTCATCATTGAAATATTGATTACTTACGATTTATGTACAGAACAATCAAAATAAATGAATGAACGATGTATAAAATCTGTATCAGTTTCACTACTACGTACGGCAACATTAACATTAATATGATCATGACCGATTGGTATTTTTGGACGCAATTGTATTGCTGGTGTTTGACATATGAGACCATTACGTGTAACTGTTGCCGGTATTGGTTGTCCTTGTTGTTCAAATACACAAAGATAATTGGCACCATAAGGCAATGGAGGTAATTGATTGATAATAAGCTCGACCTAATTTTTCAATGAAAATGATGATGAAAAAAAAAAATTAATGATGATGGAAAAAATACAAAATGGAACACAAATATAACGAATTTAGTGAGGAGAAAAAAAATTAACTTGTGAGCGGCAGCGGAAATCAAAATTGGAAAAAAAATTCTTTCGTTCTTTTTTTTCACTCCTAAGATAATTGGGTCTGTGTGATTATGATTATCGAAGTAAAAAAAAAAAAAATAACGATGATGTTGGCGATGAAATAATAATGAAAAATATTCATTGAACGGTAAAAATTAATTAAAACCCGGTAATGATCAGTATAGAACAATAATACAAAACAAGATTTTTTTTTTCGTTTTGTCGCGTCATTGATTTGTCGTTGGAATCGAATAAAGAAAGAAAAAAATTCAATTTGTTCACACACGAAACAAAACGAGTGAACAATGATAATTTTTTTTTTTCATTCATTGTGGTCAATTTTCTTTTTCGCTTCATTGTTCGTTTTGGTTTTTTGGCTGAAAAAAAACATTCATATATAACAATAAAACTTACCGGTGCAAATAAATTTCTTGCCATAAATTCAGGTTTAATTGCTTGAAAATCAATACATTGTGATGTTTCTAATGAAAGCCAACGTGGTGTTGAAAATACTGATGATTTTTGTTCAAACATTGTCATCATTGTTGTTGTTGTTGTTGTTGTTGTTGAATGACGTGTATCGATATTGGATTTTTTTGAATAATGATTATCATCACCACCACCATTATTATTATTCGAATGATATAGACATTCAGATTTGATTGTACATCTAAATGAAAAAAATTTTTTATTCAGATTTTTTCGGTTTTTCTACTTTCGCTGTATCAAACATCATACCTTTTCTGCAATGAACACCAGCCACAATATGGATTACGAGCCTGAAGGCATTGATCACATGAATTATGTTGTACACATGTTTCTACAGGAAATTTTACAACCTAATTATGAGAGATCCAGAGAAACAAAAAAAAAACAAAGAGAAAAAAATGAATGAATGAGTGATTGATGATTGATTTATGAATCACAATATAGTGATGAACTACTATTGCTGCTGCTAATTATACAATCGATGTCATTGCCATCACTATCGATTTTTTTTTTTTTGATTGATGAAATGCCAATTTTATATGGAATGAAAAAAAAAATTCAATTCAAAAATTGAAAAGAAATCGTTATGTTGGAAGAAAGAAAACAAAAATCATAATATTTGTCATGTACCACACACACACACACACACACACACTCACATCGCCGAAAACACTTCAAAAAAAAGGATATAAATATCCGAAAACAAAATCGATTTTTTTTTTGCTTTTCCAACAGCCGAATAAATGTTTATTTCTCGTTTCACATTCCTACGTTTTTATGTTCATCCCTCGAACGAAAAAAAAAAACAAGTAAAATGTAAACGAAAATAAAACGGAATTTTTTTTTTAGATAAGAATTTCACACACACACTCGATTTCGATATATTCAAAATTCATTCCATCATGTTTTACACACACACACACACACCAACACAACCAAACCAAACAAACATGGAAAAAATCGATTCGATTTTTGACAATTTCTAAAAACATTTTCAGCAATGATGATGATGATGGCTATGAATGATATACACGGCTCAAACAATCATCATCATCATCATCACGACATTTACGAAAACACGAAACCGATCGAATAAGTGAGAAAGCGAGTGAAATAAAAAAAAATGTCCCAGAAATGAATTTGATATGTATGATGTATATATATGTGTGTGTTCAGGGTGAGCACTAGTCAAATAAATAAATAAATAAAAAAATCCATACTTAACGAAACACACACACACACACACATAAAAAAAACTTGAAACTAAACCCCGCGATCATTGTATCATGGACATCATGAAACTACTAACGGAATGGAATGAAATGGAATCAATCAATTTCGATCAATTTAAATGTTGTTGATGGGAAAAGTTCGTGCCATCATCATCATCATCATCGACAAATCGAGCAAAAAAAATGAATTGAAATGAAATGTTTAAAGAGAAAAAAAATTTTTCCAGAATCTTTGTGTACAAAACTATTTTTGTATTCAAAGTTACTCAAAAAAAAAAAATTTTAGATCTGGTTGAATAATTTTGACTTTTCTCTCTCTGTATGTGTGTGTGTGTGTGTTTAATTGACCAAACTGGAACCTTTGTGGTTGAAAAATATGAATACAACAGAGAAAAATATACCCGAAAGCAAATTCATTGAATATTATTATTACCATCGTCATCATCATCAATTGTGCGTGTGGTTTGTTTGATTCAAAAAAAAAATAATCGTATTATGAATGATTCATAAGTGGCCATTGATGATATGTCATTTTACGGTTGAAATGAAATAATATTTCCAAATGTTAATTGAATTGAATGGAAATTTTTGAATCATTTGAATGATTGACGAAAGAAAAAAAATATTCAGAGAAATTTCCCGAAAAGAATATTACCGGAAATTTTTTTTCTATTTAAACCATTTTTTTCGTACTATGATCAAACCAACAACAATTATGATTGATTGATAAAACAAAAATCATCATTCAATTCGATTATTATTGGATTTTCAGCAAAAAAAAAATTAATGTCAAAAAAAAAATATTAACAAATCATTCAATCGTGACAGAAAAACAAATCGATGAAAAAATTCATTTCATCGGGTTCAATGTTGTCTGGAAACGAAAGAAAATTAAAATCCAATGACATGAACTACGTGTGTGTATGTGAAAAGGTCATGTCATACACACACACACACACGTTAGTTTTGGCAAAAAAAAATGAGAATGAACAATTCAATTTAGTTCTAACACGTCAACACGTTGTGTGTGTGTGTGTGTGTTGGTGGTCAAATGTGTTTAAGTTCAGATCAAATGAAATCAAGTGCAAAAAAAAAGAAATACATCATCAACTCATCAACATCACTGGTCATTGGCATTATATATATGGTGGTCGATGGTCGATTGAAAATGGACATTTGTGTGATTAAAATTTGATCTGACAGGTCAACCATTCAATCGAAAATTTATTTGAGTTTTTTTTTCATTTCATTTTCACTTCTTTTTTTTCCATCTCATTCATCATTCCGGCCACACAGATCTCATATTCTGGATCACGGATTGTCAATCATCATCATCATCATCATCACATATAGATATAACACTTGACCACAAAAAAAAATGTGAAATTCAGTTATAAATAGAATTTCAATGATGAAATTCTGAGGTTTTTTTTTTGTTCTTCATTTGTCATCATCATCAGAGAGAGATAGTTAGATCATTTTTTTCCAATTGGCAAGGGAGTTTGGTCGAACACACTGATGCTGATGATGATGATGATGAGATTTATGGAATTAATTCAAAAAAAAAAAAAAAAATCTTTTTCGATTTTTTTTCACCAATATTCTCATGTGTAAAGTTTAATCAAATTGCAATGGTGGGGGATGAGCAAGAGGAAAAAAATTGGCAAGAAAAAAGAAAAAGATCAACGATATCAATATTGAATGAATGATCAGGAAGAAATGTAGAAAAATAATATTTATAAACGACCAAACTAGAATAGTGTTAAATGGTGATAGCGGTGGTGATGGTGGTGGTCAGTGAAACAAAACAAAAAAAAACCATGATGATAACCTGCTGTGTGTGTGTATCTCTCTCTCTGGGTTTCGATTGCGTGTTTATAGCCCTTTTTTGTGGTTGAATAATTTTTCTCGTTCTCTCTCTATCTGTCTCGGATTGTATAATGTATGGAATTTGTAAATTCTAATCATTTTTTTTTCGTTTGTTGTTGTTGTTATTGTCCATCTCTCTTTCTCTCTCATTTTTTTGCATTTACAATTCAAAAATGAGCAGAATAGAAAAAAAGTTAATCAAAAAAAAAACGAAAAAAAAATATACGAATGAATCATGAATGAATGATGATGATCTGTTTTTACAAAAAAAAAAAAAAAAACACACAGCACGCAATTTTTTCTTTCACTTTTTTCTTGTCTCGAATATGGAGAGTGAAAAAGAGAGAAAGAGAAAAAAAATTGTATCAATTTCCGGTTACAAAAACATCGTCATCATCATCAACTTGATGATCAAAATGACAGGAACCAGAAATATTAGAATGATCGTCACCAAAATCAAGGAATATAAAGAATTTCTTGACAACAATGAAAATAAAAGGCGATATGTGATATTTTATGAAAAACGAAAAATAAAAAAAAAATTTACAAAATTTTTAAATCTCAATTCACAATTCACAATTGATAACAAATGATTTATATATGCTGAACCGGATTCCGTATGAGAATCAATCATTCGATGATGATGATGGCTTTGAAATCTGATTCTGTTTTGCTTTTGTTCAATTTTTGTTTCTTAGGCAACAACAGCAGCAGCAACGATGATGATGATATTCATACAATAGATGTGTGTATTAAATTTCGTTCATTGAATTGAAAAAAAAATCTTATCATTTTACACGTGTTTTTATTTATACTCACAAGTGAAGGAAGGTATCGTCTATCATCATTTTTTTTCTATTTCTATTTCTTTCAATGTTGACCTTTTATTTTTTCTCTCTCTTTATCCTAGATCCTAGAAATCTTTTTCATTCTTTTGTTGTTGTTGTTGTTGTTTTTTTTGTTGATTCTCATCTATTGTTTGGGTGTTGTCGAGCTAAGAATAAAAAAAAACGATTAATTTTTTCTCTTATTCTCGCTAAAGAATATCGATCCAATTTCTATTTTTTTTTCATCATTCACATTATCACAATAGAATTGGAATTCTAGTGAAAATATGATTATAACGATGATGACCAAATGATGATAGAATCGATCTGTTGATGTATAATGTTTTCGTTATATTTTTTTAGCTTCTTTTTCTTGTTGTTTTTTTTCTACATCAGCATCAAAGAATCAATGTTAACGACATTTTGTTTTTTATTCTATTGTCCAACAAAAAAAAAAAAGATTCCAGGGCTGAACCAAATAAGAGAATCAAACAAACAAAAAAATCTTTCTGGTACTGGACAATTTTTTTTCATGTTGAAAACATGAAAAAAAATTGTAACGATACAAATTCTGTGTCTGTGTGTGATTGTTGTTGGCTAGAAATTGAAATTTTTCTTCGCCATGTTCCTATACTACACTGTGATTGTAAATGTAATGTAATGGATCAAATAATTTCCATATAATCATGAACAATTGTAGGATAATCCACAGAATGTTTTCCAGGAAAATTATTTCCGGAAATTTTTTTTTCTTTATTTCACTAGAAATCTACGATGTACATGTGAATTCAACTTTTTATTTCAAAAGAAAAATAAACCCTAATTTTTTTTCTCGTTTGTGACAAAAACTTTAATAATATACATCACTGAGATCTGGTTTGTGTGTGTGTGTGTGTGTGTGTTTGGCAAAAATGTAGAAGAAGAACAAACGAAAAAAAATTCAAAAAGTTTCCTTTTGAATGTAGAAGATGAAAAACTTTTTTTTTGTTTGTTTGTTTGAAAGAAGCAATTCTAATCACTACTACCACCACCACCACCACCATCGACAACAACAACAACAACAACATCGTTAAGCTTCAAATGAATAACTTATAAGTGAATGGGAGAAAAAAAAATCCTCAAATGAATCGGATTTTATCTCTTTTTTTTCATTTTAAAGATGAAAATGAAAATTTTGAAGAATAAGTAATTCAATTCCATGGCCACCACTAAAGGTGTAGAACTTTTTCTTTCGCTTTCAGACCATCTATCCACATCTGAATATGGATCCATTTTTCTATTTTGCAAAAATGATTGACGATTATTGTGAATGAGTTGGATGTTCAGAAAAAAAAGAGGATTAAAAATTTTCATCATCATTCCACAAACACAATGATGATGAATTATTGTATTAAGGTTTTTCTACGAATAGATAAAACTAATATGATCTATGGCCAATAAGTTTTTGTCATTCATCGATCGTTCTTAATTTCTGCCAAACAAAACAAAACAAAAAAAAAGTTTCAATCTTTTGCATCACATATATATGCTAATTAAAAGCGTATTTTTCAACTTTTTTTGTGTCAAAATTAAAAAAAAAAAAATTCCATTTTCTGGCCTCTTTCTTCATCCAAAAAAATCGGTTTCAAATGAATAATGAGATTTAAGCTCATTGATTAAATGATGGTGATGATGATGATGACAGGCAAGACAAACAATGTTGATTATTAGTAGAATATGACAGTGGAAAACACACACACACAGGAAATGTTTCCAATTTATTCCTATTTCTATCTTCAATTCAAATATTCATTTGAAATAAAAAAAAATAACAAATTCTCTACAATTCTATACTAAGCGTGACCAAAACACACACACACACACACACACACACACAAACAACGAGTGTGTTTGTTCATTAATTCAAATCACAATCAAGAATATACAAAAACAGCATATACATTTGTTATTTTCTACTCAAAAATTCTGTATTCTGTTATTCATTTTATCATGTTGTTGTTGTTGTTTTTTTTTGTTTTGTTACGATAATAATGAATTTGAATTTAAATTTAAATTTTCTATATAGAATTATTCTGTCGTTTTCTCTCTCTCACTCACTGGTTTTTTCCTGCATATGTCGACTTGATTATTTTGTGTTATCATTGTTTTTCCACTTTTTTTTCTGGTTAATTGATTTTTACTGTTTTTTTTATCTGAATATTCTGGTCATTTAAAAATCAAGTTGAATTAATAATGTTTCATTTGTTGTTATTCTGTGACAAAATTCTTTGAAATAAATGAAATATAAATGTTTTCATTTTCAAGATAATGGAAAAACTTTTCTTCTCGAACATGTAAACTCAAAAAAAATCGCAATCACTGTAGAATAAAACCAGAAAATTTAACAAACAAACAAAAAAGAGCGAAAAACTTACTTTATATGGTGATGAAGCAATTAGATAACGTGGATTTTGTTCAGCATCAACAAATAAATCGGCTAAAATCGGTTGATTTGGATCGATTGTTATTTCATCAAATTGTTGGCCATAATCACCACGTGTTAATAATACCTGTGTTAATAAATAGCAAAAAAAAAACAAACAAACAAAAATGAAATCAAACATCTATGAGACAGAATATTCTCGTAAACCAAAAAAAAAAAAAAAATCGGCCAAATGAGAGAATGAAAAAAAGAAGCGAAAAAACAACAACAACAACACACAGCGGAAAAAAAACAGCCGGAAACCACGATGAGAGAAAAAAAATAACCAAATCTATCAAACAAAAGCATCATAGAGAAAGAGAGAGAGAGCGAAAAAAACCGGAAGGAAATGAAAAGCAATGCACACTTCAACAAATGTATGGATATTTGATGAAATAAATGGATGAATGAATGAATGAATGAATGAAATTCTCGTACATTTAATGATTATTTCAATGCTGTGGCTGCTGGTTTGTTTGTTTGTTTGTTTATAACTCAATGGATCACTTGAACATTTTACCCAAAAGTAGTGAATCGTGTGTTGTTGTTGTTGAAAGTATTGGAATTTTCTAGTTTTCTTGACTGGTTTTTGTGTGTGTGTGTGTGTGTGTGTGACAGAAGAAAGAAACTATGCTTTTGTTTGTTTATTATTATAACTATTTTTTTCTGTGGTAATTTGATTAAGATGAACATTTGGTGGTGGTGGTGGTGGCGGCGATGGTGATGGTTGTGACGTTCAACATCATTGCAACGATCAACGTGGTATACAACGAATTACATGTCGCTAAAACATAATTTTCGATTCTCTATCAGTTTTTTTTTCTATCGAAAGAAAAATACGACAATAGATTCTTCATTCTAGAATATGACTTTTATCCGCTTTTTTTTGTTCACATTCATTCACTTCTTTTATTTTTTTTGGAGAATTATATTTGTTTTTCAACCATTCACAACGATACACAAACACAGAGAAACAACATTGACAACATCTAATCTATTTGGACCATCTTTTATTCTTGCTATGGTAGAAAATATTCTTGTGTGTGTGTGTTTCAGTGAGTGTGTATGTGTACCAAACTTCTTTATAGTCATCATTATCCTTCATCATCATTGGTTGTCGTTGATCATCATCAACATCATCATCATCATCATCATGATGTATAAGAATAAAACCACAACCAGAAATACAAATACAAATATAAACAGAAAAAAAAAATTTTCTTAAGGCAAAAAAAAGAAAAGAAAAGAAAAGAGTTTGTCTTTCAATCTTTCTTATATTGAAAAGAAGAAGAAGATGAAGACTTATTCACTTCTTTTATTTTTGTAAAATAATCATTATTATTATTATTATTGAGAAAATTTAATCATCTTCTCTGGTTCTTTTTCTTTTTCTTTGTGTAGGTGGCTTATTTTGGTTTTTTTTGTGTGTGTGTGTGTGTTTAGTATGTTTATTTTTGTTATTAACAACAACGACAACAACAACAAAAACATCATCATCATCAACATGTTTTCATTGAATAGATATCACATGTGTGTATGTGTGTATGTGTTCATTCAATAATAATTGGCCAAAATACTAATACTAATACTGCTTTATCAGAATATCACTAACCCTTATGATGATGAAAATTGAGAAAAAATTCTGATCAAAAAAAAAAAAAAAAATACAAGAATTCTTGTACAAATTCTTGTTGTTATCATGTGAATTGTGGAAGAATAAATCAAAACAACTAAGAATTCAATCAAATTGAGAAATGCTGATCAATGTTAATCTTTCATTCATTCATACCAAATCATCATCATCATCATCATCACATTTTGTTGGATAAAATCCAGAATGAATCAAGAAAAAAAAACCAAACAAATTCCTTTTTGGGTCATTTCAATGCATAATAATAATAATCGAATTGAATAATGAAATGGAAATTTGGTTTTTTTTCTTGGTTCTAATAATGATGATGATGGTACCAGGATTCAAATATCAAACAACAACAATGGTGGATTTCTTCTCTTTTTTTCGGACAAAAAGAAAAAGATTTTTTTTCTTCTTCTTTCAAATGCAACAATAGCCAATGATGATGATCATAATGTAATTTGATTCGTTGACCATTTGTTCTCACATTGAAATTAGACTTTCTATCTATTTTTTTTCTGCTGTTCATTTGAATGAACAGAATGAGAGAAAAAAAACGGGTTTTATTTTCTTTTTTTCTGATCCATTCGGGAATTCATTTGTTTATATATCAAAATGGACATTAGAATTGTGTGTGTGTATGTGGATGTCTAGTGGACACTGTGTACAACAACCAAATGGTTTGAATGAATCTTTTTTGAAGATAATAAAAAAAACGCCATGTTATATGGGTGGAAATTTTAAATTTTCTCCAAAATGCACACACACACACACACACACACACACACACACACACACGCAAACATCTTCTGGCCATAAATTTTCTTTGGTCATTTCACTGACCAAATACGTAACGAAGAAATAAAAAAAAATTCAATCAATCCTGTTTCAAAGTAGAACATTTTTTTTACTAGTTTTACACAAAATTTCATTTTATTGGAATAAAATAAAATCCACCAGGAAAAAAAAGTGATTCAAAAAGAAAGAAAAAAAAATTACAAAATTTAATTTAATGCAAAACACACACACACACACACACACACACACTTGGAGAGAAAAAATGGGCCAAAACGCATGTTGAATTCTGGCATTCTGGTACACACACACACACACACACACACACACAAACACCAATTGAATGCCAATGAAAAGCAACAATAAATAGTCAAATACAGTGGGAGAAAATAAATTTTCAAAGAAATTCTCTATTTGAATTTTCATTTTGATATTTCTTCTGGATTCTGTGTTTCAAACTATTTATTGGACACAAGAAAATGAACAATTCTTGTGAATAACCATGAAAAAAAAATCAAATAAAAAAAATAGATTAAATTTTCTCTCTCTCACTATCTATCTATCTATCTATCTATCTATCCATCTATCTCTGGCATGATAAAATTATATAAACAAAAAAAAAAAAATGAAAATTTTGTTTTCCTCCCACAAAATCCACACACACACACACTCACACACAAGACATACATTTCAAGACTTTTTCATTTTGTTGTTGTTGTTGTTGTTGGAAAATGAAATTAGAATGCAATGGAAATGAAAATTTTCTCATACATTCAATTTGATTGGAAATGAAAATAATAATATAAAAAAAAACCAATACTCAAATCATCATTTTATCATCACGTCTATTGGTTCATCATTGTGTGAAAATATTTGGTCATTCCACATATAAAAACAACTATTGGCGTTTTTTGTTTTGTTTTGTTTGGTTTTGTTTGGCTTGGTAATCCAATTTTATTTTTACCATTTTCACTATTATTCACTTTTTTTCTCTTGATTCGATTTACGATTTTTTTTTATTTTCAATTTTTCATCATCATCATCATTTTGTTATAATGAAGCCATTGATATGCATTTAAATGAGACAAGATAATCTTATTTTTAAAAGAATCGAATCGAATTCAAGTGTAGAAAAAAATTCTTTTTGAAATTCAATAAAACCATTTACAGCAGCAGCAGCAGCAACAACAACAACAACAACTACAAACCTATTTTGTGGTTGAATTAAAGGATTGTAATGAATTTTGTTTTGTTCTCTCTCTCCCTCTCTTTGAATCTAAAGAGAGAGAAAACTTATCTATTACTATGATCGAGAAAATATATGCGAAAATAAATAAATAAATGGCTAGCACCAAAAAAAAAAAAAATAAAAAAAATGTGAAACAAAACAAACATTTCCATTATTGGTTTGATGCTTTTGTGTAGTGTGTGTGTGTGTGTGTGTTGGTTTGTGCATCGTAATCGAATTATATTTACACACACACACACACACACACACACACTGAAAAACATGAACCAGGAACCAGAAAAAAAACCAAAAGTTCGATTGCATAATATTTTAGATCAACAACAACAACAACAACAACAACAGAAATGAACCAGAAATAAAAAGGTCAAACCTTATGGTCCATCGAAAAATCGAGTAGTATTTGCCAACAAACATTGTCGTTGCTGTTGTTGTTCTTGTTGTTGTTGTTGTTGTTGTTGTTGTTGTTAGTGGCAAGAATTATTTACGGATCAAATAGACCGAATAATAACAATCAACAATGAGTGTTGGTTTTCGATTCTTCATCAGCCAACGGAAAAAAAACGAACAAGAGAGAGAGAGAGAGAGAGAGAGAAAAAAAAATTTTTCGAGATACGAATGTCAAGTATGTTTGTGTATAGAATATATTCTTATTTGAAAAACAGCACAACTATATATAGATGATGTTTCATCGATAATAATGATGATGATGGTGATGCAAATTAGATTTAAGTGCAACGCCAAAAAAAAAAAAATAAATAAATAAACAAAATAAATGCCCACAAGTTTTTTTTTCATTATTATTGTTCATTAAAATGCAAAATATATTCATTCTCCATTGACCATTGACATAGAGGGCAAATTCAAGAATAGAAAGAGAGAGAGAGAAAGAACGAAATTCTTGCCACAAAGGTTATTCATGATTCATTTCATCACGTTCCTGTTTTGGGCCAAATGTTGGAATATATGTGGAATTTTTTTTTGAATAAATAAATAAATAAATTCTCAACACAACAAAAAAAACAACAACCAAAAAATGGACACTTTGTTTATTTATTTCATTTACACAATTTATAAAGAAAATTCATTTCAGAATTTAGGATCATCATCATCAAGAATAATCCAAATGAAATTGCTGTATGGCAAAAAAAACGAAAAAAAAATAATAAAATCACATGTGATTCACATACACACACACACACACATAGAACGGTCATTGGCTCATTGTTGTGTGTGTGTGTGTGTGTACGTGTATATATAGATGTTTATTATATAAACATAATAAAATCCTATATATCTATAAATCCAAAGTGGTCACGTATTTTTTTTTTTATTTTCTGTCACCAATTGTGACCAAATATACAACCATCATCATGATCATCATAGCCATAATCATCATCATAATCAATGTCATTGTCACCATATGGTGGTGGTACATATAGAAATTGAAATTGAAATGAATGAATGAATGAATAAAATACAATTTTGTATTATAATATGCAATTTTGTATTCTTGTTGTACTATAGAATTTCGCTCAATTTATTTTTATTTATTTATTCATTAATTTGCTAGTGCAATGCAATCGTTAGATTGTTGCCATTGGGCAAACACATGATCAGATGATTTTTTTTTCAGTGAAAATACGAAAAAAACATTTCATGATATGTCTCTCTGTGTGTGTGTGATGGTGTTGGTGGAGATAATCAGATCAAAAAAACAAAAACCAAAAAAAAATGATGCAAACAGACATTGAAATGAATAAAAAATGAAAAACTTTTTCTACATAGACACACACACCGACACACCGATACCATATCACAATCTATGTGAAATGTTCATATTAAAGAAGAACAAAAAAAAAGAGATAGAAAATGATGTTCCAAACAGTGAATATTATGCCAAGACAACATAATAGTGTGTGATAGTGAAACTTTTTCCACTGTATGTCTTGTCATGTCTAATTATTAAAATTTATAAATGATCATGATCATGATCATCATGTAGATATATCAAACGTAAAAAATGCCAAAAAAAAGACGAAGAAGAAGACGTTTCGACCAAAAAAAAAGTTTGATTGAGCGAAAATTCTTCATTTTTTTTCGCTTTTTGATATTCTTATTTGGCGGCAAGAAAATGTCTTAGTTTTTTCTTCACATAAATTCTTTGCTTGCCATGACTACGACGATGATGATGATGATGATGATGATAATTACCAGAAAAAAGTGTTTTTTTCCTGGAACACATGCCAATTTTGTTTTGTTTTTTTATGGTGATGGTGAAACAACTTTTTTATATATATGAAATATGATGATATTCTTCTGACACCCGTTACACTTTGTTCACTCTTTTTTTTTTAATTTCATATGTTTCATCATCCAACACTAGCACATATATCTAGCTCAGAAAATTTTCGTTAATTTTTTTTTATATTCGTTGTAAATGAAACAATTTTGTGAATTGAAAAGTTTTTTTTTCACTTTTATTGTGTGTGTGTGTGTGTGTATGTAAATGACATGAATATGTATCAAAACAACAAAAAAAAAAATTCATATGTGGTGTGTCGTACAAAACACTGGAATGGAAAAGAATTTTTTTTTACCAAAAAAAAACTTACCTTTTTAATTGAACCATAATTGGTGCCTAAAAATGCAACCGTATGCTGTCCAGTAATGCCAGCTGCAATGGCAGTCAATATTGTATGGCCATCATCAAATACTATTGATGCCTGTGTACGTAACGGTATTGAACCATTTAATTTTACAGCTTCATTACAAAAATTGAATACATTTCCAGCCTAGATGGATTGTACAAAAGATGATAAAATGGACAAAAATAAAGATTAATTGTCAAATTCTTTGATTATTACGATAAAAAAAATGATAATAAAATGATGAAAATTAAAATTGAAAAGCCAACGAGAAAAAAAAACAGAATGGAGAAACATCACCAATCAACCGGACAAATCATTAATGACAATTTTTTTTCGGTTGCCTGCCTGCTTGCCTGTCGCAATCAAATTCTATTGATTATTGATTGAAATGAGAAAAAAAAGGAAAGGAAATAATTTCTGTCGTCCATTAATTTTTTTTTATTTATCGCCAAAATGGTGGTTTCAAGCAAAAAAAAAAATGAATGAAAGAAAGAAATGAAACGAGCCTGATAATTGTTATTTGTTTTTTTCATCTGCTGTTCATCGGTTGATGGTTTGTTGATGGTTGTGGATTTTATTCCATGTGAATAGAAAAAAAAATATTCTGGATAACCACCACCACCACCACCACCAGAATCGATAATTATTGGAAAATTTATATTTTCATTCATTAAAAATTAATTGGTAACACTTGAATAATTTCCGGTTATTCATTCTATTTATTTTGGCAGCATTTTTCTCTCTCTCTATACTGATCATCGATTCTACTATTTTTACCATGCTGTTGACTTGACTATTTTTTTTTGTTCCAGTTTATCTTTGGATCCAATTACCGGGGATCAAATATCAATTATTGAAATGGCAAAAAATTGAATCCATTCATTCATTCATTCATTCATCTTCACTAGTTCTTCTTTTTTTTCGTTTCTTTGTTTTTTTATTTTGTTTTCATCAACACTAGAAAAGTGTGTGTGTGTGTCGTGTGTTTTTCCAAATGAAAGCAACAACAAATAACAGCGAAAAAATAAATAGAAACTTGATCTCGATTTTTTCCATCGAGAGTCAATCAGAAGATCATAATGACAATGCTGATCAATTATTCAAACGGCGACAACAAGCAAACAGCCCAATAAACTAGAAAAAAAAATTTTCTTGTTTCCTTTTTCGGTTGTATTACGACAGCAAAAATCTTATCTTCTGGTACATGAATGATCCAGAATGAAAATGTTTGTGATAAAGATTCTCGAGAAATCGAATATTTGTTGTTTGCTGCAAATTCTCAAAAATGTTTCATCATGATACATAATTCAATTTATAGCGAGAAATCTTTTCATCTTATCTCGTAGAATGATGTGTGCGTATATTCTAAAAAAACAAGTCAAAATACTAATCATATGTTGTGGTCTCATTCACAAACAATGTACAATTCACAACATTTCATTTTTCTATTTTTCTTCAAGATGATGATGATAAAAAGATTATGAAAACAACAACAACAACAACAACGAAAATTGAGCCCAAAATTATTTTTGGTGACAACTTTTTTTTTCTTTCTTTAAATTTTCTTAGCTGTTGATGTTCCAAGAATAAATAATAGAAAAAAATGAAGAACCCAACCAGTGTATATAGTTATCATCATCATCAACATGATAATCAACGATTCAGGACACGTCATGTGTGTATGGATACCATCACCACCACCACCACCACCATAATCATCATTGTCTTAAGATTTTGGAAATGTTTCCCATATCTTTATATGAGGATGGATAATAATGATGATGATGATACAGTCCCATCAGATCATTTCTAAAAAACATGAAACAACAAACTAAACAACAAATAATTGAATGTCTTTCTTGTTGTTTTTATATACATGTGATGAAATGGACATTTTTACTTTTCCATAATGGATCTCTAAAAAAAAAAAAAAAACTAAGAAGACGAAGAATTCTTTAGAGTTGTTATTCCATATTTAGAAAATTGTGTACCACCAAATAAAAATGAACACACACACACACAGAGAGAGAGAGAGAGAGAGAGAGAAGCCATTATCATCACACTATCATCAACCAAGAAACTGGACAGAATTGAGAAAGAAGAGAATGGAGAAAGGAGAAAAAAATAACAAGAAAATTTATCCATCTGATCATCATCATAATAATCATAGAAAATATAATCTTCATCTTTCTGTATGTGTGTGTGTGTGTGTGTGTGTATTATGGAACCCGTTGTTCCAAATTTCGTAATAATAATAATAATAACAACAACAACAGCAGAAAAAAAAGTCACAAATAAAAGAAATGGAAATAAATGTGGATGGCTTTGTGAATTGCATTGAATTGAATTTGCACACACACACACACACAAAAACTGTTAAAACATTGAGATTCAACAATCAACATGAAACAGCTTCTTGTTGGTATTTAGTCAGTTGCTTTTTAGCTACTAAATCATCATTGTATAATCATAATAAAACAGGAACAGAGAAAACAATTAAAACAAATATATATATATAACAAGCAAACATGAACTAAAAAAAAATTCTGTAAATGGAAAATTTAGTGAATAATAATATAACGGTATAGAACCCGGTTAAGAGAATACTATGCAAAAAATGAATCAAATACAAAGAATCTAAATAATCATCATCATCATGGAATAGTTGGCTATTAATTTTTCGAATAAAAAAGCAAAACATCATCATCATCATCATAGAGACAACGGGAATGAGAATGAAATGACCGAAAAAAAAATGAATTTCAAGCTATGGATGGATGAATGAATAGATTTTAGTAGCAAAAGAATCGAATTCAATTCTTACGGTCGTAGTTTTGTTGTTTGTGTGTGTGTGTGTGTGTGTATTTTTCATCATTCACATCCATTCCATATACAAAACATGACGATGATGATGATGATGTCCATTTTCATTCATCCAACTGTAAAATGTTTGTCTAATTGTTTGGATCGTTTTCTGTTTGTTTTTTTTTTGTTGTTGTTGTTGTTTGGATATTTTAGAATGGTTTCATCATCGTCGTCGTCATCATCATCATCAGTAGTAGTGCAAACAAAAATAAATAGATAAACAAAACAAAACGAAAATGAAACAAAACAAAAAAAAAAATTAGTCAACCAAAACGATTCATACATCACTCTTATATGGTTGATGTTTTTCCATTATTATCATTGTTTGTTTAATCAACGCTGATGACGATGATGATGATAATTAGTGACAGAATATTATGGCTATAGAATAAGAATAATTTCCAAGAAGAAGAAATGAAAAAAAATGACAAATCGAATTGACAGATTTGATCATCAATATCAATGTTATTTACAATCAATTGATTCCAATTTAGTCACAATTTTTTTTTTGTTCTTCTTTCATTGGTTGGACAATAACCGGAATTTTTATTTATGAACAAAGGAAAAAACCTCGTAATCCTTGGAAAAAACAAATACATTTCAATTCATGAATGAAATTCTGAATTAACAAAAATAAAAAAAAAAATTCCTGGCCACCACCACCACCCAAAATTCTACCCTTCCATACACACACACACACACACATGTACAGAAACGAATTTGACACTAAAAAAAATATTAATGATTATTTTGCAGCAAAACGCACAAAATTCCACCGAACAAAAAAAAAAAAAAAAAACTTTTGGCCCATTTCATTTCCATAGTTGTCTGAATTATATGCAAAAACTAACTATATACAAGTTAATTAATCAAACTGTTCAGCATTGAAAATGCCATAATCAATAAAATATGCATCGTATGCATCGTGATCATCATCATCATCGTCATATCTGCTGTATTTCAATACTAGGTTTTTTTTCATCATCATAATCATCATCATGCCCCTCTGGATGATTAGTAGAAACAAAACAAAAAAAAAAAAAAATTCTTCAGCCACTACCAAACCATCATCAATCTATCTATCTATCTATCTATCTATCTATAGTTGTCTGTAATATCAAATGATAATCATATTCTCAATAGAGAATATCATAACAAAACTATCACTAATAATAAAGTTTTGAACAAAAAAAAAAAAAATGAAAACCACACAAATAGATTGAGAAGTGGGAAAAAAAACCACCACCACCACTAAAACACCACCATGTGATATAATCATCATTCAGTGTGACAATGATGATAATGAAAATAAAAAAAAAAAAGTTTTCGGTTTCGGTTTTTTCACCATTCAATTCGAATGATTCGATTCAAGCGATTCATTTTCACATTCATGTCAATGAACTTTTTTTTAGACAATTTTTTTTTTGATTGTCATTTTTTGTTGTTGTTGATGATTTAATAAAGAAAAAATAAAGTAAATGTTTTTTTTTGTTTCTGGGTAAATAAATTGATTTTAAGCCATTAAGAAGAGAGAGAGAGAGAGAGCATCGTATCAGAATAATAATCATTATCATTATTTTGAAAAGTGACCAAAAAAAAATATATGGCACACTCTCTTTGTAACTGACCTAACAACAACAACAACAGCAACGTCATCATCATTCAAAATACAATTTACGAGATTTTTTTTTTTACTGGAGAATCACAACAACAACAACAACGACAAGAAACAAAAGATGAAAAAAAAAATCAATTTACTAGCCATACGATGGGGTAAAAAATAAAACATATTACATAAACACAAACAGAGATAGAGAGAGGGAGAGATAGAGCTTAGAATTCATGGAACTGTGAAAACATTGTGTTTGCTTTCTCCTGTTTGATGGTACAGTGAATTTTGACAAAATTTACTACTACAATCAGAGAGAGAGAGAGATTTACAAATTGAAAATTGGTGAAAAAAAAGCATTTGTTTCTTCGGTTCAATAGTAGAATGGAGAAACAAATTATTTAACGTTAAAGTTACAGAGACAGAGAGTGAGTGAGTGAGTGGAAAAAATGACTTTTTTTTGGTTTTTTCACATTTTGATTGAGATATAATTTGTTGTCCACACGAATATAGAAAATCAAATCATACACACACACACACACACACACAGCAGGCGTCATCACAAATAATCAAATGTGGATTATCCAAATTGTTGGTTCCCAGGAACGGAAATTTTGGATTTTTTTCTACAATCAGAATCGTATATATCGATAATCATAATCATCCAATA